GTTTTTTTTTTTTTTTTTTTTTTAAGGATTAATGACTTTATCGATTATTAACGGTTGCTTGGAAATCGAGAATTCTGCACGGTATAATTTTCTTTCGCGTTTGCGGTAAGCTTTGTCGAGCGATGATTATGATTCGTAGAGACGCAGGTTTGAAAATATATATATATTCTAAATTTTTAATAATAGTAAAAATAAAAATCTGATCTTCTCAATTTTACTCGGTTTAATTCTAAGTGTTAAAGTTATTCATGCTTAGGAATGATTAATTATTATCTCATCACATTGTTCAGTAACAAACCATGACTGTACCCGTGATCAGCAATTATGCGCTTAACGATCCTTTCGTAATTCAGTTCCTAAGTTATCTAAGCTATTGCTCGCGTTATAGTGAGAAATTTGAGTAATTAAACGCGTCAATGTAAAGATCGGACAAGTGTCTATAAAATTACGCAATCCTTATCGAGAATCTTGAAGGAAGATCATAAGTAAAGCTTCTGATATCGATAAATATACTATTATTTTCATGTTCCCTAACTTATATCCTCGGTTGTTATTTTGCAATTAATTTTTTGCGGATACTAAAATTTTAATAAGCAAGTTTTAATTACTTCCTGAACTATCAAACTATAAAGTTTATGCGAGGAAAAGATATTGCAATGTTAAAAACTATCTTATTTAACTTAACGAAATGGATAATTTTTGGTATAAACTAGATTTATAATATACGTATGTCGTGTGTCGAAACTTTATATAAAGAGGCATGCATATTATTGGCAATTGGAAATTGCAGGGAATAAAAGTAAATAAAGGATTGAAACTCACCATACGTTGTCTTCAATCTGAATGTTGATCCAATATTTGAAAAGAAACTAGTAGATACAGTCATTGTTTCACTGGCATTGTTTTCTGTTTAAACAAAATATGAATAATGATTATTTAAATAATATTTTTTATTTGGATAAATGTTTATTGTTGATAATTGTATTAGAAATACAAATTTCCTTATAATTTTTTCATAAGATTAAAAAAATTGAAAAAATTATCTTATTGTGTGAATTACCTCAAATAGAAAATTATTAATACAAAATATAATTTGATATAATATTTATAAAGCAAATATTGTATAATTTGAATTTGCATGATCAAGATAACTATTAAATATATAATATTTTAATTTCATATTTACTACATGTAATTAAAATATTAAAAGATTATATAATTTATATAGTATAAAATTTATTATAAAATATGAATTATATATAGATTTCAAATTAAAGTAGAAAGAATTTGTATTAAATATATTACAAATTTTATCTTTCATAAGGAAAACAAACTTTTTTCAAACAGACTTAAAATCTATATTCTAAGAATACCTTCTTATCGCGAGTCAGTTTCTATTGTTTTTAATATTTCACACACACGAGGCGCAATATTTACAAATATTTCAGAGTGAGAACGTGGTCGAACATGACTAAGTGCGTCGTAAACGAAGCCCTATGTTTACCTTTCATACATATGCTGTTCAATTTATTATATATAATATTTGCTGTGGTAGTGTAAATTAGAGATTGTTTGGCATTCATCCAAAGCATTGAATTCAAAAATGAATTGAACTACGTAATATATCTATTTTTCATTATAAATGGCTTTTATTATATTTTATGATCAACCAAACAAAAGTTTTTTTTATAAATAATTGAATTTTTAATTTTAATAAACTAACAACTGATAAAATTTATGAAGTAACCTTACTTATTCTTTCCTTATTCCATAACAAGTTTGAATAATTTTTAATTAGCTTTTAAAATTCATTTAAATAAAAATGAATAATATATTCTTTTAAGAAAAATATATAATAAAGGATATTATAATAAAGGAAATGGAATTGTTCATATTTGCATGCAATAGATATAATTAAAATAAAAAGAATTTAATATATATGTTTCTTTCAATGCTTATTATTTATTTATATAGTCTTTTTCCTTATGAAATTTAAATATTTAATATTTTATATGTAATATTTGAAGTAATTTCACTTTAATATGTAATATTTTTTATATATGTTCCCTATTATTATCGCAATAACTATAATTTGACCCCTCACATTTCAACAACGCTTCCAGCAATTTATGATATTTATCGCATCGTTAGAATACTAATTTAAAGAATAATATGTAACAGTTTTAGAACTGTTCCTATCGCAATTGATTCCACTTTCACCCTACACTATTATATGTATTCAACGTGTTCCGACACGACGAAATAAATCAGTATTACCTTACGATTGTAGTGTAGAAAATTCCGATTCGGAATGGTCAACGTGCCACAGCTTCTCTTTTTATGAACGCATGCTCCTAGCATCTAGATATCCCATTCTGCAACATAACATAACCTAACGTAATTCACCAACGAATCTAACTAAGCGTATATCGCAAAATTTTACGAAAGTTTCTCCATACTATACCTCGATCGATGTTCACTTTCTCACGCAGTGAACTGCATCAATAGTCCCCCCACTTTTCGTATACTTTCCACCGTGTAGCTCGAAGGACTAAACGCCGGCTGCTTCGTATCATGCTTCGTATTTCACAGGGAACGAACCTCGACGTTAAATTTATTCACACTGATGTTCCTTCTTTCCTTGATAACACATTCTCGCACAATAAGACAATCACAAAACAAAGTTAATGGACAAATTACTTTCTGTCAGGATAACCGTCCGTAGTGTCGAAATTTATTGCGTCGCCGATCGCGCGAAAAAGGACGCTCTCGTTCAATGCGCGCGCATCATGCGCGCATCGACCCCGCGCATGTGCGACGCGCCGTTGCGCAGTGTTAATCCCGCGCATGTGCGTAGTGTCGTTGCGTAGTGTCGGACAGCATGGTGCTTCGAGAACGCGGGAAAAAAATATTAACAAATTGTTTTGTGTGGTGCAATAAATATTCATGGCTGAAGGTGAGACAACAGATACTCTAGACCACATGGTAAGTCAAGTTTACGGGATGAGTCAACGAGTCATCGGCCACTTCCTTTTTCGATACAGCCGGAATACATTGGCTCGTTCTTGAACGTCGTCATCGTATCACCGGACAATAAATAATACGTACCGTTTACGTGAAGCTGTTTACGGCGGTTGAAAGTGATATTACTCTCTTCTTCTTTTTTCCGTTCTCCCTTTCTTTTCAACAAGATTAACCACTCTACCCGTTTAATTAAATATCGTGTTAAACGATTCACAAATTCATTCTATCTTCTCTACAAGAAGACGGATATCACGTGACTTCCATTAATGGCTGCTTTAATGGCGCGAAATTATGAAAAGAATATTGCCTCCAACCCCGGAAGAAGATGTTTGAAATGAGGAATCAACATGAAAAAAAGGTATTTAATTAAAATAATTTCATAATAATATATAGTTTTACTATATTTTATAGAGTATCAAAGAGTTAAATAATTTATTTTTCTGGATTTGTGAAAAATAATAATTGTATTTTTATTTAATTTAAAAATTATAAATTACAAAAGTTAGAATTGAAATAATTTAAATTAGATATTTTATTTTAATTAGAATATTTTTTATAATTAATTAATATATATATATTATATATATATATAAATAGGTAATTGATAATAATTAAAATTTGATTATATTTTTATATTGATTGACTTTAAGAAAACATTTTATAGAAATTATCAATTCTAGTTATAGTGTGATTTGATATAAAAGTATGTTTACTTTTATAATTACAATTTAATTTCTATATCCTTTTTTCTTTCTATTTCTTTTTCCATTATACATTTGTGTGTCTTACCATATCATAAATCAGTCTAAAATCGTAATTCGAAGCGTGAAGACTTTAGTTGCAATGCTCGTCACGCTTTCTTATTTATTGTTAAATATTTTTTGTGTTTTTTGATTTATTCTTGAAAGATTCATTAGAAATAATAAATCTGTAATATATCATCAGTGTTAATTTTATGTTGCTTTGCACCTCTGAACATTTTAATCAGAGATAAAATCTTTTAAGATTTCACTAGAAGACATTATTATTATTATTCTTTTTCCTCAATGAATACTCCTTTTCAACTTTGTATAGAATTAAATACAAATCTAATAAATACAAAACTATTCCAACATCTAATAATCCATAATTACAATTTAGAAAATAGAAAGATATTATACAATGCTTAACAGTTAAATCTTAACATTTGAAAATTTTCAATATTTTTCAAACATAAACGAAGATAGTTTCTATTCATATAATATTTCTTCAAACTTTAATAAAACTTTAATGGAAACCTTGTGAGGCGGAAATCGACTTATTCATGCGAGCAACGTTTCTCTTCTATTCCCAGATAGATTCATATCGTGAAATGCTTGTTCGATTCCGATCTCACAAGATTCTGATTCATCTGATTCATCCTCGAACAACGCGAATAATCATCGTTAGATGTTCATACTTTTATAACAAGAGATTAAGGGTAATTTCAAACGTCCGCAATCATCCGAGACGCGGATGTTGGTCGAGGAAATGAATCCATATGTGACTCACGAGTATAACTGTAAATTATGTTCTTGTTTTTTCTTTTTTTATTATTTTCTTCATTTTCTTTTGACAATCTTTTTCAAAAATCTATCTTTTCTTCAGCCTTGAACTTGGCGTTCTATGCATATGAAACTTTCACGTCGTTAGTCCATATTTTTTTATTTTTCGTGAGTGAAACGCGTATCGTTACAGTTCACAAATAAGTTTTTAACAGGTTGTGCGCGATGAATCGTTAAAATCAAGCTCTAATTAATTCTTGATCGAATATTTGCGCGATACCGCCTATTTCTTATACTGTCGTTAGCAACTTTGAGAAATATATATATGTAGATAAAACATAAGGTTAATTTGTAATAAATAATCAAAAGATAAATGATTGTTTAGATATCGACTAAGTAATTACATGAATATTTCGTAAAAAATTTTATACAAATTTTAGAAATAGCGAATAGAAATTATTCCAGGAGACATTTTAAAAAAAAATACATTGTTTCGAATTGTCTTTTTTAAATTATTAATGCGAATCGTTCGATTTTCTCGTATCGTGATAAAAAATTTAAAAAAAAAGAAAAATCTTAGCAATTTATAATTCTTGCACAAATAATCTGTTACTGAAACAGGTTACAAAAATTGTCACGATCATATTCTTATATCTATTTCTTAACAACGGAAAAACCCAATAAACAAGTGTATCATATCTGTCGAACAAGCGAAACCTTATAAAAAAACAATTTTAATTTTCCTCGAATTTATAATTTCGATACGCATTTCTCACTTCGTTCTATCGCTCAATTTATTTATTTATTTTTTTTCTTCGTCCTTACATGATTAATTAAAGTGATAGTAAAAACAAAAAGTTGAAAGGGAGGGGGAAAGGGAGGGGATGGAAAATTAAAATGCAAATGAACGAGCGTGAGTGTATCGGTGGCTGTGAATTTATGAATAAATTTTACCACGTCACAGACCGGATTTAACTTCATTCGATCTAGTTTAATCATGCGACTTAATGAAGAATCAGGGATCGATGAATCTGAATTCTTAAAAGAGCGGGGCGATATTTATTTCACGATAGATCACGTTTTGCATTCTAAAAACGCGATCCCGATTCGAAATCCTATAAATCAAAATAAAAACTTTTCCTTTCTTTTATTTCGCTTCGTCTTCCTCTCGCGTGGAATATTGTTGCGAGCAAGTTGTAGAATGTCAAGGACTACTTCTATGAAGAGGTAGAAAGAAAAGATAGTCTGTCTCTATTGATTTATTATTGAATTGTTGTTAATTCAATAAACGCGTTAATATTTCAGTATTAGAAAGCTTGACAGATTCGAAGATGACAAGTCGTTTCATTCGTATTTGGTGGGCAAAAATATATCCTCCTTTAGAACTAGAAAAATTCCGTGGAAAAATTTTTCTTCTATGATTTCCTCTTTCTAATTCCAATTTTTATCGTTACTTTAAATTTAAACAAAAATTGTAACAACAATGTCATTTATAAATATTTATAATTAATATTGATAAAAATCTGATAGAATTTAACGATCGTATTGTATCGTAAATATTCGTTTGAATTCAGAGTCACTCAGAAATATTATTCGTTTGTTTTATATTATTTATTTATTTTTATTATTATATATTTATTTATATTATAATATTATTATCGTTTAATAATATAGAATAGTTATCACGAAGGATAGATGAATATGCGTGAAATGGACAGATCGGTTAATTAATTAAAGTCATGTTCGAACGATCATTAAATAATCATAATTAGTGATCATTTATCAAGGACACCATAACAATAATTAAAATTTTAATAATCTTATAAATCGATATAAAACCAGAAATA